CAATGCTGTAATCTCTTCACTTTGTGTTCATTTTCTCTATTTTCTATGCAGAAATAGGGCGTTTACAGGCGTAAGCCTATTTACCTCAAATAAACTGACTGATTGACATCCAGCCTAACCTGCTAAGTGCACAGTTTAACGGACGACCTGGGAGGTTGGTCGTGGTAGCGAATTCAAAGAAATCCCCAGAGGCCAGTTTGCAGTCCAACCCCTTCACTATGCGCAGTACTTGCAAGAGATCCCCGCGAAGTTACTTATAACTCAAAGGGACGAGGTTCAAATTTACTGGATGGGTTGCATAGGGAAAGGACCCATAACCATCTTCGTGGCTCTCCTCTGACCTCTTTCGATGCAGTTTTGATCCTCAACCGCCCCCGGTCTCTAGAATCGTATGCCGTATTCCAAGTGCGACCGAACGAATGTTTCAAAGTCTTTGTGAAAGCACCTTCGTAAAAATCGATAAAAGCACGCTTGATGGGTACGGTATGGACATTGTGGTTTTTTCCAATCTCGGTCAGTGAGTAGATGGTTTTAGGGAGTTCGTCATCAGCACGCCGACGTCATTTTGGGCTTCGACGTCTCATAATGCTACACCGCTGAAATAGTAGTCTCTTGTGCTGGCGGATCTAGGTGTGCTGCCTAGGCGATGTATGCTACACTTACCAATGTGAAGCCGCAGGAGGCAATGGTTTGGCCACTCTTCCAACTGATTAAGGTTCATCTGCAGTCGGTCATCGTCGTCAGGGCCTCGAATTTAAATTCATATCTTCATGTCGTCTGCAAACATTGCTACTTCGCACTCCAAAGCTCTTGCGCCATCGTTCACATATGTTAGGAACAAAATGGATCCCAGCGCTGACCCCTGGAGAACACCACTCTCGACCACAACAGGATCAGATTGTCTTTGACCAATGCACACAGCCTGCTGTCGAACCACAAGGAAGTTTTCGATCAATTTAAAGAAGTTGCCCCTGACCCCTATTTTTTCAGCTTGTGTAACAGTCTCTGGAATGACAGGGTCGAGCACCTTCTGGAAGTTAATAAAAGCTATGTGAAAGCTACGCATAAACCGCAGATCGTGACATCGTGCGTGAGCCCCTAAGGAGCGACTTACAGACCTTTGCCCAGTGTTGCCGCACATGAAGCCTTTCTCTCTCTTGGCGTAAATGCTCAGTCATGGTGGTTGCCGACGACCACCAACCTCAATTAAGTATCGACGATCATGACATAAATGTGCCTGGGGTTTTTAAGGATCTGGGTGTATCATTCTCCGAAGTCTTAATCTTTCGGAGCACTGTGTCCTGATAGTTTCCAAAGCACGCAGAACGACCGGGTTTAACCCCGAAACTTTAAATCCATCAATATTGGAATGCGCCTTGTTCGTTAGATCTGGCATGGAATACTGTTCGTTTTTATTTAGCCTCATGCGTGCTGTTGAGCGAACGAAAATAGAATCCGCCCAACACTTTTTTACCAAGAGAGTTTTGACCCCAGAACACCGTAATTTGTCTTACCAGGAACGTTGCCGGCTTACAGGCCTTGACCATATATGGTTTCGTAGATTATAAAAGGGACTATTTCCACTACTTAAAAATTTATATAACCGTACCATTAACCCACTCACTGCTTTAAGACATCTTGTTCATCCCCGACCTAACAGTCAATGTGAGGTCTTTTTACTTCTTCCTCTGGCACGTATCGTTAAATATTGTCGGTCCTTTTCTGTGAACACAAATGTTATTTGAAATAAATTACCCAGGAATGTGAAAATCCAGCATAATTACTCTTTGTTTAAGAGAACTATTACCCGTTTTTTGCATTCAGAAAAACTCCCACAAAGTTTGGGTGCTGAATCCAGGATCCAATATGCCGTAGTGATAGCGTTCAAGGTCTCTGATCCCCATGGCCGGTCTCACGAGGAGCAATTTCTTTAGTCAACTGCAACAGCTGTTCTTTAAACATTCTGTTTGGTCCACTCCTTAGTTCTTGCAAAGAAGTGGCGACTGAAAATATCCGATGCAATGTCACCCCTCCCTTTCCTGACTGTTGTCATTTCATGGGCAGCAGTTATTTTCTCCCGAACGCTCCAAACTATACAAAACCACCGCCCTCTTTATTTTTTACTAGGAGTTTTTTCACTGCTGGCCGAATATGTGCTTAATCTTCTTCTGAAAATGCCAGTTTACAGGAGATAAATGCAATAATAATAACAATTATTATTTCTATACGTAGCCCTGAGTAAGGACAGAGTTTTGAGTAGAGATCATAGTGGCATCCTTCGACCGATCTTTGGGAGCGCTTGATGCTGCTACGCACAAAACCGCCCAGAATGAATCTTCTGCCCAAGATTTTCATCCAAAGGATAATAGGGAAATGGACTGACCTCTCCCAATCAGTCGTGGAGGCAGTGTCCTGCAGCTCTTCAATAAAGGCTTGGATGATTGTTAACACACGGTAGCACACATAGGCGCTAACGTCAGCACAAACACGTGCACACACTGGGACTGAAAACAGCAGCAACCCAGCACACACACGACAGTTCGACCGTCGATTTCGACGATGTCCACCGAGTGCCCCACAGACCGCATTGTGAGAGCAGGGACGGTGAAATACGCAGGGGTTTACAATGTCAGTAGACTTGCGCTGCCTCTACCTACACTCTCTCCTCCTCCTCCTCCTCCCTCGCCTGAGTCCGGTGTCAAGACAGAGACAAGAAGACCGGAGACGAGGGAGGCCGCAGGTCGATGGTTCGGACGGATCCTCGCCTTTGCGTTCCACTCCGCACGCCCTGGTCCACACAACAAATGGCCAGAATTTTGACCAACACAAAAGAGAGTAGAGGCTGGCACGGCCGAAGCTTCCGCACCTAGGCGTGCCGCCAACGCCTGGCTAGGATTCCACACTGCAGTGGGAGTGCCATAAAGGCCACATTAAGAAGGATCCATTGTAGCCTGACTCTCTGACCTCCAGTCCAGGAGGTCCAAGTTATCCCGTCAGTTGGAAACCTTCCAAGCCACGGCTTTTAGCGCACCGTGATAGCTTCAAGCGCGTTAGATTGTTTGTAGTGTGGAAAATGCGCTGAGTCGTCGATCTCACTCCCCCTTCCCACTCCCACACCCCAGCCGCTGTCCGAACCGGTCAGCAGACGGGAGTTGGAAATGGGCGCGGTGGCTGGCATGGTCGACTGACCATGCCTGCGTGCGCCATATGCACGACCTGGCTCCCCATACACACAACCACCAGGATTTCACACAACGGGGGTTGGACGGCGTGTCTCTCACTTGTGTGAGAGGGCCGTGGAAGGTGTTGTTTCAGCCCGTCTCCCAGCCCACCAGTCCGGCACTCCACACAACACACACACAACGGGACGGACTGCGCGGACCGAGTGGGGGCATCAATCAGCAACCTTCCTATCCACGACGCTTGACGTGTCGGGGTAGACTCAGACTCAAGTCGCCCGTGCAGCCGGAGCCGCATGGGGACCGAGTCGAGTTGCACACTTACCACTTGCGTGGAAGGTGGCAGTTGGGTGCTTGCGTTGGGTGAGTGTTGATGTGTGGTGAGTGGTGGGGGAGGAGGAGGAGGAGGAAGCAGGGCGGGAGGGTGTTGTGGTGTGGTGTAGCCGGCGGTTGTCTACCGCAGGTCGTCGTGGATGCGCATGTGGCCGAATAGGCCCATGCGATGCCTCAATGTGCGAGGACAGTGTGGGCAGTTGAGACGAGCTTGGTCGGTATAAGTTGGTGCTCCAGGCACTGGTTTTCCAATCTCAGCGTGATGGATTCGCAAGTGACCGACCCGGCCGATGCGAGAGGTGAATGTGCGTGGACAGTGTGGGCAGGTGAGGTCGGTGGTGTTGGTGTCAATTGCGGGAAGAGCGGTGGGGGCGCAGGGTGATAAAGTGGGGGTGGGGTTTGGCATAATGGATTAGTCGGTACTGCGGTCGATTCCGCTCTCGTGGATGCGCATGTGGCCGAATAGACCCATGCGATGCGTGAATGTGCGAGGGCAGTGTGGGCAGTAGAGGCGGGTGCGGTGGGTGTAAATTGGTGTTCCAGGCATCGATCCACCAGTCTCTGTGCGATGGATTCTCAAGCGACCGACCTGGCCGATGAGTGAGGTGAGGGTGCGGTCGCAGTTAGGGCAGGAGTAGACCTGATACTAAACGCTGGAGTCGGAGGAAGTGGGGGTGGTGTCGGTTGTTGTGTCAGGGTTGATGATCTGCGGGATGGCCGACTGAGCGGCCGCAGTTGGGTCGGTGGAGGAGGGGGTTAGAGATGGGGGGACAGTAGAGTAGTCAGAAGTAGTTGGAGGCGGAGAGGACGAGGAAGAGGCGGGCGGGGAGACGATGGTTGGTGCAGTTGATCCGAAGGTGTCCAATAAGTCCGATTCGAGCCCGGAATGTCCGTTGACATCGAGGACAGGTTGGTAGCGGTTGTG